GTTAAGCGAGGCACCACTGTACTTCTTTTATTCTCATTGTATCAAAGATCTTTACCCAGTCTTTAATTTTAATTGCTCTCTGTTCTATCAAAACCTTACTTAAATTTTTCCTCAAATTTTCTGGGAAATTAGGTAAATCCACCACACTCTTCAGTGCAGAAGTTTGTGGACTTAATATTCTTTTATACTTCTTCCAACATGTTACTTAAGAATGGATTATCTATATTTTTCATCAATTCTTTTAGATTTTACTTATAGAACATATTTGTTATACTATCCTTAATCTTATAAAGTTCCAGGTCACTACATATTAATCCTTTACTATTTATTATAATTTCTGGGACATGCCTCAATTGGTTAGCTATATAGTATAATTCAGGTATACCCAATCCTCCTTTCTTTTGAGGTAGATAACTATAATTTTTAATTTCTTCTTGCCCTTTTATTTTCATTGCAATATCTATTAATCATATTCTGCAATTCTTTTAATTCCTTATCCTCTATCTTTATGGGCAGCATCCAAAAATACAGTGGTGCCTTGCATTACGACGTTAATTCGTTCCAGTGAAATCGCTGTAGAACGAAAACGTAGTAATGCGAAAATAAAAAACCCATTGGAACGCATTAAAACCCGCTTAATGCGTTCCAATGGGCTAAAAACTCACCGTCCAGTGAAGATCCTCCATAGGGCGGCCATTTTCGGTGGCTGTCTTGCGAGGAATCCATCCCAGAAAACAGCGGGGAGCCATTTTATTTACCCGGCGGCCATTTTGAAACCGCCCATCAGCTGTAGGAAAATCATCGTTTTGCGAAGAATCGGTTCCCAAAGCAGGGAACCGATCATCGCAAAGTGAAAAAAGGCCTATTCAGACCATCATTTTGCGATCGCAAAAACATCATAATGCGGTTTCGTCATAATGCGGGGCAACTGTAAAGCGGGCACGACTGTAAAAAGTTTTTAGGGGTTATCTTCATTTTTACTAATGCAGCTCTTCCAAACTATGATATCTTCAATCTCTGATAATCTTGAATTTGTTCTTTAATTTGTTTATTCACATTATCTAAATCTGTTTTAATAATTTCTTGCATTTTCCAAGCAATTTTTATTCCCAAATATTTAATACTATTTTTTTATCTTCCCTTCAAATTTTTGCTTTATTTTACTCTTATCATCATTCTCATAATTAACATACATTCTGATTTATTCCAATTTACCTTTAACCCTGTAACTTTCTCAAATAATTTTAAATGCATTTTATTATTATTTATAGAATGTATTGGATCCTCAATTGTCAACAATGTGTCATCTGCAAATAGATTGACCTTAATTTTATTGGTGTTCCCTATTCTTTTTATTTTGGTATCCTCTCTAATTGCATTTCCTAATAGTTCTGTTTCTCATGAGAATAGAAGACTCCCTGGAAAAGACGCTGATGTTGGGAAAATGTGAAGGCAGGAAGAGAAGGGGACGACAGAGGATGAGATGGTTGGACAGTGTCATCGAAGCGACCAACATGAATTTAACCCAACTCTGGGAGGCAGTGGAAGACAGGAGGGCCTGGTGTGCTCTGGTCCATGGGGTCACGAAGAGTGGGACACAACTAAACGACTAAACAACAACAACAATAGTTCTATTACTAAAATAAACAGTATTGGTGATAACAGCATCCTTGTCTTGTTCCTCAGCCTAGCGTTATTTTTTCATAAACAGTATTGGTGATAACAGCATCCTTTCTTGTTCCTCAGCCTAGCGTTTTTTTCTGTAATTCCATCATTTACTCTAATTGTAGCTGTGTTTTCGGAGTATAGTTGCTGTATAGTGTTTCTAAAACATACCAAACCCTAATTCTTTTATTAGTATCTTTAAAGCTGTCCTTCCCACAGAACTGAAGGCCTTAAAAATATCCAATGATACTATAGGTAAAGGAAAAGGTTCACCTTGACATTTAGTCCAGTTGTGTCTGACTCTAGGGCACGGTGCTCATCCCCAATTCCCTACCATGGAGTCAGCATTTGTCCGAAGACAATTTCCGTGGTCACGTGGCCAGTGCGACTAGACAAAGAATGCCGTTACCTTCCCACCAAGGTGGTACCTATTTATCTACTCGCATTTTTACATGCTTTCGAACTGCTAAGTTGGCAGGAGCTGGGGCAAGCGACAGGAGCTCACTCCATCGCATGGATTCAATCTTACAACTGCTGGTCTCTGACCATGCAGCACAAAGGCTTCAGCGGTTTAACCCGCAGCTCCACCGCGTCCCTGGCGTGTGGCGTGATAGTATATTTGCTTTTATATTTATCTTTTTAGTTACATATATTACATCAAGTACTCTTCTCGTTAAATCTCCCATTTGTCTACCTTTTATAAAACCATTTTGGTCCTTACCTATATAATTATCAACGAATCCATTCAATGTTTTGCTAAAATTGCTGTCAATTTTTGCATCCTGGTTGATCAATGAAATTGGCCTGTAGGAATCCATATTCATTTGATCTTTATTTAATTTCAAGATTAATACTATCATTGAATGTTTCCAAGACTTTGGGATTTCTTCCCCCATTAATATTTTATTAAATAAGTTCTTCATTTTTGATAGGAGTACACGTTTAAACATCTTATAAAATTCAGAACCTATTCCATCTGATCCTGACGTCTTAGCTTTTTAAAGTTTATTGTCTCTTTTATTTCCTCCTCACTTATTTCTTGTTCCATTTTTTCCTTATCTTTCATTTGTATTTTCTTAATGGTGTTGTTTTGTAGATACATACAGTGGTGCCTCGCATAGCGAGGTTAATCCGTTCCGGATTAACCTTTGCTATAGCGAAACATCGCTGAACGGGGCAGGAAAAGCCATTGGAACACATTAAACAGTGTTTAATGCGTTCCAATCGGCGCCTTTACTCACCGTTCAGCGATGTTCCAGGATGGGCAGCAGCCATTTTTGCACCCTCCCGTCGCTTGAGGGTGCGAAAACACTGCGCGCGGCTATTTTGAGCCATTTCGGGGCTTCCGGCGGCCATTTTGAGCCATTTCGGGGCTTCCGGCGGCCATTTTGGCCGCCGGACAGCTGGTCGCCGGGGCTTCGTTTTGCGAAGATCGGTAAGCGAAACACTTACCGATCTTCGCAAAGCGAGTTTCACCCTATCTAAAAGTCGTTGAGCGATCGCATTAGCGATCCCAAAAAAGGGATCGCTATGCGATTTCGTCGTTTTACGGTGCGCTCGTTAAGCGAGGCACCACTGTATTAATTTTCAGCCTTAGTCTCTATTTTAACCCCTGAATCTATGGAAGACCTTTAGAAATGTCAAAAATGACACAAAAAACCACCACAGATGCTTCCTCTGTACAGATGACTGACAGCCACATCTGACAAGCTGAGTTAATGGTTCCCTGTATGTCTTCTTATTTGATACCCCTACATTAAGATAACTTTTGAAAAGACAGGGTTGTACTGTACCTCTCTGAAAGCAAAATTATGTGAAGGATGACAAAAGCTTCTAAAACATCCATGGCACAGGTGGTATTCACTACAGTCAGTGCACCTGGAACAAAATTAAAAAGGTCAGTCGTTTCCTAATTCAGTTTTAAATTCAATTCATTTTTGGCATTCAAATTCATGTCATAAAATGTGATTGACACTTGCTAGCTTATAAGCAGAATATCACATATTAATTTATTAGGTGAAACAGTATACCTTCATCTACCTGAGAATCTTTTGATATTTTTGAATCCTATCAATAAAATATTAGATATTCCCAGCATGAGTATACATAATACTGTACATAATACTGTTTTCAAAGGTGAAAACTCTCCATCTCCATTCTCAAAAGTGATCATTCTGAAAGCAGCTATTTCAGCTTACATTTAATACCCATCTGTCTGCCTTTGGAAATAGATGGGCATGTAAAATCTAATCTCTACCATGTTATCTGGGAATTTCAGAATCAAAAACTCAAAATATTTTTTATATTCTTCATTGTGCAAAGTGCAACATTTAGGTCTCCATCAGGATGGGCAGTGTCTGTATGTGCAACTTGCCTTAGTTTCCAACTTCTGGGGAGGTGGATTTGTCCACAAAAGTGTGCATTACTGTATAATATAGCAGTTAGTCTTTGAGGTGCCACAATGTTTATTTGGTTTTTTTAAAAATATATTTTGTTTTTGGCCTGATGTGCTAGCATAGACTAAAGTCGCTGCCTCTTCTTAAACTTGTCTTATTTGTATGTTATGTGCCAACAAGGTATGTGAGATATTTGTGGGGCAATTTACCACTGCCACTCCCCAGTAAGCTTCCATATCTGAGCAAGAATTTAAACCCAGATCTCCTGAGTTCCTGTATGCTGCCTGATTCTCTCTCTTTGCAAAGAGCAAATCTGGACAAATCCTCAAATGGACACTAGATGGAGACTTTCTTCCACTATTTCTAAATGTTAATTTCTATCCTTTTTTCTACTTTTGTTCTCAAACTGGCCACTTTCCATTGATAGAGATCTAAATAAAAAATAGAAAAAGTGAAATAGAGTGCTAATTCTAGCACCTATCATTTAAAGTTTCTCACTGATAAATCTCATCTAACCACCTATATAAAAGACGTTACTAACTAAAGGATTCACTATATTTGATTCTAGGATTCAGATTCACATGTAAAATGATAGCTTGGTCACTGCTCTTAGTAAGAGGAAGTTTTTCTTCTAATAGCTTGATCTTGTGCACATTTAATGAGAAGCAAGTTCCACTGCAAGCATGGGAATTCTGTACATACCTAACATATTAAAATGTAAGGATTTATAACACATGCAACTCCCATACAAGAAGATCTATAATTGCAGAAGTTCCACCTGTATGTTTTTGTGTGCTACATTCCTGTAGCCCCTGGCACAGCATCCGAAAGATCACTGGAATCCTTAGATCTCTGCCTCAGCAAAGAGGAAACCCAACTTCAGAAGAGGAAATCCAAGGAAGCATCTACCAAGTCTTCCCAACTGCAAACATTTCTCCAGCCCTGGGAGAAAATTATACCAACCCTGAAGCTGATATAAACTATTAGGGGAAATAAAAAAAATAGAATTTTAAAACCAGTCCTCTCCTCCCTTTCACTCTGCTAGATTTGTCTAGTTAGAATGTACTTAAAAGAGTTGTTCCTTTAGATAAAAAAAATGTCTACCACATGATGTCTTTCCTCAACTATATATCTCATTTAGCTTGCTTGTTGCTGTAGTTGATCACAGAAAATAAACAGGGACTGACTATGGGCATGCTGTGAATCCACTCTGGACTTTATAGACTGCACTTTACAGGTGCTACCCATAGTACTAAACCTATTTTGGGGATGGGGTTTCAGCAGCTTAGACAGTTCCTATGAACTGTGGATTCATAGCACCCCCAAAAGCTGGAGTCATCACCTGCCACTGCCTGAGACAACCCTTAATATTTGTCTGCTAATTACTGATGGGGGCGGGGAAGGATTAAAGTGTTACAGAACAATTTGTGAAAATATAAGAATTGAGCTGCTTCAAGATGATTACTTGTAGCAATTCCCCTCAATGGGGCACACTCTGCAGTTGTTACAAGGGATTCCAAGATGTTTGTCAAGATGCTGCTTCTCAGCTACAGTCACAAGTCTTTTGCAGTTTCTGAATTCTTCCAAGATGAGCTTCAGAGGCGCAAAGTCTTCCCTGCACAGAGGGCACTTCACCAAAGAGTCTTTCTCTAACTCTTTCTGATGATCAGTCCAGATTTTCATACATACTATGTGAATGTTGTTTCCACAACCAAACCTATGGGATAGTCAACATCAATTATATCAGTAGTTATTCATATATAAAATTTTTGAAGAAGCTGTAAGTGTTGTTACAAACATACACTAGTCAAAACTTAACAAGAGCAAAGAAACACCTCTTAACTCAACAGTGTCCAACTTCCCTTTAGCAAACAGACAGTTCTCTTTCATTTACTAAGATTGCCAGACACTAAAACCAAAGCATTATATTCAAACCAATTTAAGGAAGCACATGAGAAGGACACAGCACTGTAACCTACCACTCCAATGTCACTCCTCATATGGAAGGCAACAATGGAGGGCTACCATGACATGTGGATGCTTCTTATGCAATTCCTAATCCTGATTTTCTGACATATTTCCTATAGTAAGCCTCCACGCTGAGAGGCTATCCACTTCTGATTGTTATTCTCCGTGTAAGAAAAGCAAGATTGGGGTAGGTCTACAACAGTCCCCTTTTTTGTGTGGATAATTAAACAAGTTGTATGCCCAAGGAGGTCTACTATCTCTCCATTTTCTCTGAATAAGCTATGCCACATATTAGTTTTAAAACATTTAGAGATTTATTTTAAACTTAGATTCTCAGCACAAGAGAAGAAGCAATGTGTTATTGCAGAGACTGGAGAATCTGGCCCATTTGTTGGTGCCTGGACTTGTGAGGAAACTAAGCTGTGAGATTGTTCAATGAGGGTGGGCATCCAGCTCGGGAGCCAATAGTCAGGAGAAGAGCCAAATGGTATAGCCTCAAGCAAAGTGCACAGTCCTGGAAAACCACCAGAAAGATGGCACCGGTAAACTGCTTCTGAATACCTGACAGCCAGAAAACCCTGAGAAAGGTCACCATAAGTTTGAATCTACTTGATGGCATGTGATTATTAATCAACCTGTAGGGGCCTAATTTTGGTTCAGAAGATGTGTACAGGTATTCCTGCATGTTGCTGATGAAAAGGAAGCCCCTCATATTAGGAGCATATGCCTCCTTTTGTCTTCTGATAGGTTGGCTAAAAGGAACATTGACTCACCTGCAATATGTGACAGGAAGCATTTTCTTGAGAAGTGTGTCCTGACAAATAGGGCATACATCCTCGGTATCAATTTCTTTTTGTGCAATGTACCCATCATCAGCTATCTGCAACTCCTTAGCAGAATTAATGGTTTCTCTTGGTTGGGAAGTGACTTGCAGGCCCTGAAGCATGTAATTTATTTCACTTTCCACAAGACCCAACTGCAAAGCATCTATAGAAAAGATTAAAAATATCTCATAATACAATCTCGTAACTGGTTCCCAACTGAATTCAAAAGCCAAATGTAGTAACATGGAGACCACTCAGTATTCATTAGGAAGCCAGATTTCCCACACACTTAGAGTATGTGTTGGAGTTACTGCAGACATGAAGATGTTTTCAATTCTTGTTTGTGATACATATGGAAAAAAACAGTTAGAATTGACTCCATGCTGACTGATGCCCAAAATTATTCATTGAAAAGTATTCTTGTAAGAGGCAGATCTATTATATAAAACTAGCATTCAGTGTATCAATCTGTAACATAAAAATGTGGGACTGTCAGTACTTACATTCATGGTCTCTTGGAAGTTTGAATTTTTTCAGCAATAACCTACATATAAAATAGTGGGGGGGGGGAGAAGCAATTTTTCACTAACTTAACAATGGACTTCAAGCTACATATTCAGTTTTAAATTTACATTATAATTTTGGTACAGCAGAAAAAACATTTTATTATGTAAAAATGTAATTTTAAAAAATCCTTTTCTTCTTAACACATCTGTTCTATTCCACTATTTTTGATGCTACAAAACTCATGGAGCAGCATCTTTCTTGCTATGATTTAATGAATCCGTGAAAGACACAAGATGCAAAGTAGGGACGTTCAGGAGTCACTATGCCTTCAGTTGATTGGTTAGGGCACATTTCTAGGTCACAACCTGACCTAAGCAGGATTCCAACAGCAGCACCATCACTATCAGGGACAACATACAACATTGCCCTTCCAGATATAATCAAGAGTGTAACACCAACCATCCTTCTCCAGTGGCTAGTTTGGCTAAGGTTGATGGAAAATACAGTCCAAAAATATCTAGAGGCCCATACATTCCCCATCTTTATTCTATACAAATATACAATGATAAATTATTTTGCAAGTGTCCCACAACATGTTTGAGATGAATGTGGGTCTTGGGTCTGAAAAAGCTGGTAGACCTCTATACCATGCTACACTACTTGCTTAAAAGTAATTGCCTGATTTGGATGCACATATTCACTTAAGGATACCCTGGACAGCAATTCTATAATTTTCCATCTCCTTTGTCCCCATTCACACAAGTCTTCACTCATTTCCTTTGCTTCATTCCATTTTAATTCTTCAACCACTGCCTACTTTCTTAAACCCCTTTCTCCTTTCCCTTCCTTTTGAGGCTACCCATTTCCTCTCTGATTTTATAATAATAATTACTAATAATTTACCATCAAATAAATTCTAAATTATGGCGAGGGTTTTCCAAATAGAGAATACTCAGAAGTGGTCTATTATTCCCTTTTTCTGGGGGCACCCTGGGATTGGCTAGGGTATGTGCAGCTTGCCCAAGGCCACACAGGCTAGCTCTACTTGTAAGAGTCAGAGTGGAAAATTGAATTTCCAACCTCTGGCTCCACAGTCAGCTACCTGAACCACTCAGCTATCCAGTCAGCTACCTATTAGAATAAGTACCATTTTTTTAAAAAAAGCTGGATAAAAATCGATACAAATTTAAGATAACATAGTAAAATTCAAATATCACTTGGATTATTAGAGAGAGAGAGAGACAGAGATCAATTTACCAGCAGATATGTTTACAGAGGTCTTTCTCGTTCACAAATACTGCACAGCTGCATTTGTGAGGATTCCCAAGGAAAACCTTGTATCAAGGAAAGAGAAAACAGTCTTTAAATTTTATAACGCAGATACTAAACAATGGAGACTATTAAAGACTACATACAGGTGAGGTACAAAGCTGTTAACTAAATTGCTGAAACTTTTTTTTCTGTGGATTTACACAATATTTCTTTAAAACAATGCTCCTAATTCTCAAAACCTGTAACACCTGCATGCATGGACGAACAGGCTTGAACTATAAGTACCAAATATCTGTGGTGGCAAGAAAATGGGGCATTGGATTCAATTATGTGACTAATGGTTTCAGAATAAATTACTGTACTATAAAAAGGTATTGAAGGGGCCACACACAGATTTGCTTTAACAAGAATCACCAGCTGCATCCAGAAGATAGAAGTCTGGATTTCACTTCTCTGGATGACTTCCACAAAGACTCCATATACAGACTTCTCACATACATGCCTCTTTTTTGGACTGGGACATTATGTTTCATATACTGCCCAGCTGGAAAAAACTGCTGTTCAGCTTACACCCTCAGCTTTATTCTCTAGGCACGGAAGAGGTGGTTGTGTAACCATCTCTTCTTTTCCTGAAAGCATTACATCTCCTAATACATAATTAAAGCACTTATTTGCTATTTTACAGCTAAGATTTTGTCTAACCCTTGAAAATCTTCAAATGGAATCATGATCCTACTCAAGTTCTAAGAAACCAGAAGATGACTAATGGAGAAAATGCAAATAGTATTTTTATACAGACACTTTAAATCAATCATAGGACTATACTTGAGAAATATGATTCATGACTGACTTTTACAACATAGGATTCAGATTCCTCCCCCCTGTGTCTACAAAGAGCTGATATTGTACTTAAAGGAGAGACTGAACATAGAGGTCAATATGTCTCTCTACTGAAACGGAGAAAGGGTATATACATGCAGAAATACTGAGATAAAGTCACATAATGTCTTTGAGAGAAGCTTGAGGAGGACAGGAACAGCTAAGGTCAATAGGACGAATAGAGACCTCTGAGTGCTGAGCTTCACTGTGCTGTATGACACAGATTTCTATGTACAAATAGCTTTTTTTCCTTGCCAAACATCAGTGACTGTCATCCAAAGCTATACAGGGTGGGCAAAGATAATTTGTGTGCAGGTAACAGTACTTGTAAAGTTACCATAATTGTGGTTTATAAATAAGAGAAGTATTTATTGAGTGGTTTTACAATGTGACGACGTTAAAGAAGATGCAAAGGAAGGGTGTGAGAGATGTAGCCTGTAGAAAGATCCTGCAACAAATCAACAACTGACTTTTGGGAAAGGTCAGGTGGAAGGAAGAGATAGCTCTAGGGACAAGATGAGAGGGGAGAATCTCTAGTTAGAGAGGAAAAAGTAACATTTCTATGCTCTGCTTCCACAAGAGGCTGCCAGAAGTGTACTTCTCTCACTTTCTTAAGATACACAAACATAGTGCCTGCAATGTTTGCCCAAATGCATTATTTTTCTCTTTAAGGATAATCACATAAACGGTACCAGTCTCAGGGATTACTTCTGCCACACAGATGATGAACCACCTCAAACATTATAGTATGAGTGTTTGCAGTGGATGGTAGCCTCTATATAGTCTGGGCTACACCTTTGACCAAAGCCATCATTGCCAACGGACATGGAAAAATTTTAACTCCAAAAGGACTTTATTTATTTATTATTTAATTTATTTATTTAACTTATATGCCGCCCACACTACCCGAAGGTCTTTTCAAAAATGTGAAAGTGACTGAGAAGATGGAAGAAAACTGACAGAACAGGCCATATACATTTCCTGTATCAGCCCTTTTGCTATTTTTCTAGGTTGCCCCCACCCCACACACACACTTTGTTTTGCTATTTTTCTAGGTTGCCCCCACCCCCCACACACACTTTGCTGTCCTTCCCTAAGCAGGCAAAGACCTTCCTCTTCAGGCAGGTTTTCCCTTAATCACTGGTGGTCGGAGATGGGTTTTAAAATAGATTGTCGTGTTTGCTTTCCCTTAATCACTGGTGGTCTGAGAGGGGTTTTAAAATAGATTGTCGTGTTTCGTTGTCTTAAACGTGTTTTAGTATTAATTTTATTGCCCTTTTAAATGCAATACTTGTTTCATTCTTTTTTAATACTTGTGTACCTACGGTTTTTACCTTCTACACACAGTATTTTAATGAGGCCAGCTGCCCTGGGTTCTTTTTAAGGAGAAAGATCACTGGTGGTCTGAGAGGGGTTTTAAAATAGATTGTCGTGTTTCGTTGTCTTAAACGTGTTTTAGTATTAATTTTATTGCCCTTTTAAATGCAATACTTGTTTCATTCTTTTTTAATACTTGTGTACCTACGGTTTTTACCTTCTACACACAGTATTTTAATGAGGCCAGCTGCCCTGGGTTCTTTTTAAGGAGAAAGGCGGGATAAAAATATTTTAAGTAAGTAATACATTTGTTCCATGCAAGGTGTGCCCGCTGGAAGGCGCCCCTTTCCAGGTGAAAGCAACGTACTGTATTTGGAAACACCCCCCCCCCCAGGCCCTCCTATTGGGAGGGAAACCCTTCCTTCCTTCCTTCGCAGAGAGGCTTTTCCCAGAGCCCCAGGCTCAAAGGCAGGGAGGGGGCGGCCAAACGAGAGGAAGGCCTCTTGTCCCAACGCCAAGGGCGCTCTGCACGCGCCCCGAGGTACTGTATCTTCCCTTAGCCGAGTCCACGGCCAGCGAAGAGCGACAGCCTCGTTCCCCACGGAAGGAAAAAAAGGCGCCGCGGCCTTTGGAAACCCAGCTGCCGCCGGACGCCGTCTGCGGAGCGCGGCCCGCTTTTCCCAGCGGCTGGAGTAGGAGGACCAGCACCGCAAGAGGCTCCCGAGGCGAAAGGCCCGGCCGTGCGAATGGGGCCCCCTGAGCGAGAGGCGCCGGCTGCCTCGCGTGAAGGCCTCCCCTTGCGCTTCGTTCCGGGTCGCGGGAGGAAAAGCCCCCGTGGCGGGCGGGACGCTCGGCCCTTCGGCCCGGCAGCCCACCCGGCCGGCTTGGGGGGGTGGGTTGTGACGGCGAGCGAGCGAGGGAAACGGCGCTCCGGCAGAGCCCGTGGGGCGAAGAGCCGCGGCCCTCAGGGAAGGAAGGCCTCCTCTCGGTCCCTCGCCCTCCTCCCTCCCTCCCTCCCTCCCTGCCTGCCGCTAGCCGGGCCGTACCCGGTGCTCCGCCGCCCGAGCAGCAGGAGGAGGCCCTTCCTCCCGCAGGACGAAGGCGGTGGGCCCCAGCTCCCGCACCAGGCGCAGCGAGCAGCCCAGCGCTTGCTCCTGCCGCCGGCTCAGCGCCGCGCTAGCCGTGACACGACGCCGCGCCATGGAGGAGGATGGAAAAGAAGAGGCCGCGGGCGGCGGCGGCGGCTCCTTCGGCTCAACGGCGTCTTTGAGAATGGGGGAGGGACGCCGCCGGCGGTTCCCATGGAGACGGGGAAGGGAGGGACGGGCGGGTCAATGGGCGTTCCCTCTGGAGGTGCCGCCTCTCTCCGCCCGCCTCGGTTCCTCCCTCGGCCTGAGAATGATGGGCACGAGGAGGC